TCTCCACAATGGCGCCAAGATCTCCTTCTTGAGCAGTAACAGCTAATTTAGACCCGTCACTGTACATGTGTTGTTAGGATGATGTTTTCCAGTGTGCATGACTTTGCATTTCTCAGCATTGAATTTCATCTGCCATTTTCTTGCCTAGGTCATGTCACCCAGTTCTGCGAGATCTCTTTGTAGCTCTTCGCCGTCTGCTTTGGACTTAACTCTCAAGTCATTGTGTATCATCTGCAAACTTTGCCACCTCACTGTTTACGCCCTTTTCCAGATCATTTTATGATTACGTTGAACTGCTCTGATTCTAGTACAGATCCTTGGGGGACCCCGCTAGTTACCTCTCTCCACTGTCATTACTGTGTGTGAGGCCTTCAGGAGTCAGTGACCCATAGGACTGCCCCTGGTGAAAGCCGCAAGGAAGCCACTGGCATGAAGACTGAAGTGCTCAACTTGTTTTTTGGAATGTACGGACAATGTACGAAGCAGGGAAGCTAGCTCAGGTCCCAGCAGAGATGAGACACTACAGCTTACAGCTCCTGGGGGTCAGTGAGAGCAGATGGACGGGATCAGGAAGATGAACAGCCTTGGGAGAAACTTGGCCGTTTTCCTGGATGGGATGATAGACAACACCATGAGGGTGTGGCCATCCTTTTGAAGAAGGGAGTGGAGCATTCCTTGCTTGAGTGGAAATCCATCAGCAGCAGCCTTATGAGAGCCAGACAAAGGGAATCATAATAATATCACCCTGATTCGGTGCTAGACTCCAACAAATGACTGTGATGAAGAAGTAAAGGACAAATTCTACCTTACACTCCAGGCGGAGTTAGAGAGAGTACCACGCCGCGACCTAACTATCGTCATGGGAGACGTGAATGTCAAGGTCGGTAAGGACAACACAAACAAAGACAGAGCAATGGGAAGACATGGGTGTGGCACTATGAATGAAAACAGAGGGAGGCTTGTTGATTTCTGGAATATGAATGACCTAGTCAGCGGCGGAACCCTATTTCAACATTGTGAACTTCACAAGCGGACATGGTGTTCTCCAAATGGCAGAGGTAAGAACCAGATTGACCATATCATGATAAATGGCAAATGACGACACTCACTGACAGATGTGGAAGGGGGGCAGCTGTTGGCAGCAGCCACCACCTTATCATAGAATCATAGAATATAAGGGTTGGAAGGGACCCCAGAAGGTCATCTAGTCCAACCCCCTGCTCAAAGCAGGACCAATTCCCAGTTAAATCATCCCAGCCAGGGCTTTGTCAAGCCTGACCTTAAAAACCTCTAAGGAAGGAGATTCTACCACCTCCCTAGGTAACGCATTCCAGTGTTTCACTACCCTCTTAGTGAAAAAGTTTTTCCTAATATCCAATCTAAACCTCCCCCACTGTAACTTGAGACCATTACTCCTCGTTCTGTCATCTGATACCATTGAGAACAGTCTAGAGCCATCCTCTTTGGAACCCCCTTTCAGGTAGTTGAAAACAGCTATCAAATCCCCCCTCATTCTTCTCTTCTGCAGGCTAAACAATCCCAGCTCCCTCAGCCTCTCCTCATAACTCATATGTTCCAGACCCCTAATCATTTTTGTTGCCCTTCGCTGGACTCTCTCCAATTTATCCACATCCTTCTTGAAGTGTGGGGCCCAAAACTGGACACAGTACTCCAGATGAGGCCTCACCAATGTCGAATAGAGGGGAACGATCACGTCCCTCGATCTGCTCGCTATGCCCCTACTTATACATCCCAAAATGCCATTGGCCTTCTTGGCAACAAGGGCACACTGCTGACTCATATCCAGCTTCTCGTCCACTGTCACCCCTAGGTCCTTTTCCGCAGAACTGCTGCCTAGACATTCGGTCCCTAGTCTGTAGCTGTGCATTGGGTTCTTCCGTCCTAAGTGCAGGACCCTGCACTTATCCTTATTGAACCTCATCAGATTTCTTTTGGCCCAATCCTCCAATTTGTCTAGGTCTTTCTGTATCCTATCCCTCCCCTCCAGCGTATCTACCACTCCTCCCAGTTTAGTATCATCCGCAAATTTGCTGAGAGTGCAATCCACACCATCCTCCAGATCATTTATGAAGATATTGAACAAAACCGGCCCCAGGACCGACCCTTGGGGCACACCACTTGATACCGGCTGCCAACTAGACATGGAGCCATTGATCACTACCCGTTGAGCCCGACAATCTAGCCAGCTTTCTACCCACCTTGTAGTGCAAGGTGGGTAGAAATGTCACCTTGTGACAGCCTCCATCAAGCTAAAACCGAGATGTGTGGGGCCACCAAACAAGGGCCATAGACGTTATGATGTTGACAAGCTAAAGTCCCCTGAAATACAGAAAGCCTTCGCTCTGCAGTTAAAGAACAGGTTTCAAGCACTTGCAGACCTTGATGAAGAGAAGGGGAATGCAGATGAGGAGATCAACAAGTGGGACAAAGTAACAACAATTTATAAACAGAGCAGTGAAGCCTGTCTAGGCTACAGGCAGAAGAGTGGGTTACACCCAGCATGTGGAATGCCATAGAAACCAGACGAGCCCTGAAGAAAAGTTTTAGACAAAAAATCCTCGAAGCTAAAGGACAAATACCGTGAGCCGTACAGCAAGGCCCACTGGAAGGTCAAAACCTTGTGAGAGCGGACAAACGGCATGATATTGATGATCTGGCAACACAAGCAGAGGATGCAGCTGCTCGTGGTGAACAAGGAACAGTCTACAAAATCACGCAGCTTATCGGTGGTAAACGGCAGACACCAACAAACACTCATCAGGAACAAACAAGGACACATACTGACAGCTGAAAAAGAACAAGAAATGTGCTGGACAGAGCATTTCAAAGAATTGCTGAACAGGGAGCCACCTAAAGAGGAAGCAAACATCCAGGAGGCAGAAGAAGATCTGGATATCAACACAGACGACACCCCACTAACGAAGAGATCATTCACACCATCAAATCCTTAAGAAATGGGAAAGCTCCTGGCACGGATAACTTGAATGCAGAATTGTTCAAGGTAAATCCTAAATTAGCAGGATCTATCCTGGCCCCTCTATTTCCATCAGTCTGGGAAAGGGAAAAGGTGCCAGATGAGTGGACCGATGGGGTTATAGTGAAGATACCAAAGAAAGGAACTCTCGGCGATTGTGATAACTGGTGTGGTATCACACTTCTCTCTGTGGCAAGCAAAGTATTGTGTAAGATCATAGCCCAGCGTGTATCAGAGGCAGTTGATGGCGTTCTCAGAAAAGAGCAGGCTGGGTTTCGGAAAGGGCGTGGCTGCACAGACCAGAGCTTCACTCTACGAAACAGAGCAGAATGGTGCTTAGCATGGCAACGGCAACTCAACATACATTTCACAGACTTTGAGAAGGCTTTTGACAGCCTTCACAGGGCCAGCCTCTGGCGCAGTCTGCGGGCGCATGGAATTCCTCTCCCTATAATCAACGTCATCAGAAGCTTCTATTCCAATTTTACATGCAGTGTTGATCACAGGTGAGCTCAGTTTTGAAGTTGAAACAGGAGTACGTCCGGGCGTGTCATGTCTGCAATCCTCTTCAGCATTGCCATCGACTGATGCGGTGTACAGAAGAAGTCATGCCAAGAGGCATTAAATGGACACTGTTCTCATCCCTTGAAGACCTGGACTTCGCAGATGATCTCGCTCTCCTATCACATACCCAACACCATATACAAGAAAAAACAACTCGACTCAAGGCATTCAGCCAGCAGATTGGACTGAAAATCAACCGCAATAAGAGAGATCATGACCTTTAATATTGCCTCACCATCCCCAGTGCAGATCAAGGGTCATGTTCTCACCAATGTAGAAATATTCACATACTTGGCAGCACCATCAGCCCGGACGGTGGAACAAGCCAGGACATCTGGAACAAAAATCAATAAAGCCAGGAACACCTTCAGGAGCTTAAATACAGTCTGGAAATTATCAAAATACAACAGCAAAACCAAACTCAAGATTTATCAGAGCTGCGTACTCTCAACGCTACTCAATAGTGCAGAAAGCTGGGAATGAGAAAGTCGGACACTGTCTTCATTCCACACAACCGGCCACAGAAAAATCCTCTGTATCTTTTGGCCTAGAACAATTTCACACCAAGATCTATTGACACTGTGCAGCCAAGAGGATCTGAGCCCCATCACTGCCAGGAGGCGTTGCAGATGGATCCGTCACGTGATTCCATCCCCAGAGCAGCAATGAGACGGACACCTGAAGGCAAGTGAAAACAAGGCCGCCCGAAAACAACCTGGCGAAGAGCTGTGGAAGCCGAGCTGAAAATCTGGGGCAGAGCTGGGGAACCACTGAGAGACTTGCCAGAAGCAGACAGGAGCGGAGGAGGTTCGTCGCTGCCCTAAATGCCAGAGGAGTAATAGGAACACGATGATGATAGCTGTCAAAACTGACCATTTATCCCTACCCTTTGTTTCCTATTGTTTAACCTGTTTCTGACCTGCGAGAGGACCTTCCCTCTTATCCCGTGACTCCTTACTTTGCTTAAGACCCAGTAGTGAGGGACTTTGGCAAAGGCCTTCTGAAAGTTCAAGTATGCTGGATCAACACATTTGTTGACCCCCTCAAAGAATTCTAGTAGATTGGTGAGGCATGATTTCCCTTTACCAAACCACGTTCATCTTGCTCTCTGGTCATTCTGTTCTTTACGATAGTTTCAACCAATTTGCCAGGTACTGATGTTCGACTTACCGGCCTGTAATTGCCAGGATCACTGCTGGAGCCTTTTTAAAAAGATCCGCATCACATTAGCTCCCCTCCAGGCGTCTGGTCCAGAGGCTGACTTCAGCGATCGATCACATACCCTGGTTAGTAGTTCTGAGGCAGCTGGGCCACAGAGAATGGGGGACGAGGCACCAAAATCACAACCCCCAGGAGGCACGTGGGTGGGATTAATGCGGAACTAACCTGCAACGAACCATTTCAGTAGAGCTCGACAAACCAGACAGGTCACAGTCAGGTCTGCCTCAGAGTAAAGATTTTATTTAAACATTTTCTCAACAGAAAAAAAACCTGAAATTTTCCTGGGGAAAAGTTTCACTTTGGGGGAAGCCACACATCCTGGTGGAGAATTCCTGGCCAGCATACAGCTTATGGCTTTTAACGTACCTGCAGACTGACCAGCCAACGGAGCCACTGACCACAGCACAGGGGGACATTTATGTAGCATCTTCCTAGTGGGGGATCAGAGGAAAGTCCCCTCACCCGCCTCTCGATCCCAGCCCCTGAGGAAGATGGCACCAGCAGAGCCAGGCTGGGCAGATTGGCTGTGGTGGTTTGATCTGTTTAGAAATTGGATCATTCCCCGGCCCAGGACATGAGCTCATCAGACTCATGCTCAGCTCCTGCTGCGAGGAGAACACAGAGCAGGTGCCCCAGACTTCCACCCCCGGACTTTTAACCTCAGCCTGCCCCAGGCAATGGTTAACCCTGGAAAGCCTTGGTGGGCAGCCAGCTGGCCTGTAAATTAACAAGACGAGTCCATAACCCAGCACAATCTTTATGGCCACCTGCATCTGACACTTCCCATGGCTGTAGAGTCATCACACTTTGGCAAGGCCTGTAACAGCGCCAGGGATGGGACAGGAAGAGCCGAGGTGTTCGCCCCGCACCGCGGGGGGAGCCCAGCAACGAGGAAGGGCCCAGGCTGAGACGCAGTGGATAGGTCGGCGAACAGGCCAGCGACGTGGCAGGAGGGCGCTGGGCCATGCTGGGGCAGCGCCAGGGGGCAGAGGATGAAGAGGCTCTGAACCAGAAGGCACAGGCTGGCGCGGAGGGGGCCCAGAGCACTAAGAGCAGGTGAGGAGAAGGGGACGGCAGCCAGCGGGGAAAGGGCGGGGGGTGGATTTTACGCTGGGTTAATGGGGGGACGTGAGCAGGAATAACAGCACTAGCGGGAGAACTGGGCGCTGCCGTCCTGGCCCGGGCCTGGAACAGCTTTCTCCCCGTGCCCCTGCCAGCCTGCCCCAGCCCGCTCCGGGGGCCACCTGCCTCCAGGGATAACCACCATCCCCGCAGCCCGGTCCAGGCTGGGGCTCCCCGTCAGGGCTGCCAGCAGAGGGGCCGTGTGGGGCCAGCTGGAATGGTATTTCAGTGCCAAGGACCCACTCCCCTTTCCTTGTGGGAAGTAGGCTGAGACCCACCAAACTCATCTCACAAAGGGCCGCAGCCCCTGGCTTATTAGCCCACTCTGTCCCCCCGCCTCCTCCCTGAGGGTCACTGCTCAGCTCTGCCTGCCCATCAGACCCCTCCAGAGAGAGGATCGTTCCTAGGCCAGGCCCCACGGGAAGGGAGCCCTGGAGAAGCGGGGGGGGGCAGGGGAGAGCTGCCCCTGAATCGGCCTCTCCAAGCTCCCCCTGGGGCTGGGTGGATCCGTTTCAGGGACTCCCTCCCTGACTCGGCCACCCATCTCTATCCATCCGGAGAGAGAGGGCGCTGCGGGGGGGAGGGGGGGGCTGCATGTCTCCCCTCTGCTTCTCCCCCCCGTTAATCCTCAGCCACGGTGACGCGGACGTGGTGCCAGGCGTTGCTCAGCACTCCCCGCAGGTTCCAGATGGGCTCCACCGTGTCGGGCTGCACGTTGTAGCTGGTGTCCACGGCCTTGCAGACGATGTCCAGCTCCGTGCGGTCGGGGGGGACGGGGGCCGTGAGCCGCCACAGGCGCCATGCCCAGGCCCGGCCTGGCCGCTGCTCCTCGCCCATCAGCTCGGCCACGTGCCACGTCCGGCCGCCATCCAGCGAGACGTCCACGCGGACCACGCCGCGCCCGCCCCCGCTCCAGGCGTAGCCCTTGACCGTCAGCTCCCTGGGTGGGACGGTGGCGCCTGGCGCAGGGGCCGTGATGGCCGACTGGACGGGCAGCTCCTGGATGGCGGGGGCCGTGGCGAAATCCACCGTGTCCCAGTCCACGGCGGGCGAGAACCCCTTGTAGTCATTCTGCTGCCAGTGGCTCGGGCTCTCCTCCCGGCTCACAGAGACCCGGCCCAGCCACTTGACGTTGCGGGCACCCACCACGCCCGGTACCACCACCCGCAGCGGGTAGCCGTGGTCCTGCGGCAACTCCTCGCCGTTCATCTCGTAGGCCAGCAGCACCTCGGCCCCGCGGCCCATGGCCGCACGGTAAGGGATGGAGGCGCCGTAGGCCACCCCGCTCAGGTCCTTATCCAGGCCCTCGAAGCAGACGTGACGCTCCCCGGCCTCCTCGTCCTCCTCCGTGTAACCGGCGTGCGCCAGGACGTCCCGGAGCCGGACGCCGCCCCAGCGGGCCGTGCTGATGGCCGCCACGCCCCACTCCAGCCCCTTCACCTGCCGGACGCGGCTCATCTCCGAGCGGCGGTTCCCGGCACACTGCAGGGTGACCGTCACCTCGTGCTTGGGAAACCAACGCTTGAGCTCCGGCAGCGAGAACACCAGCACCCGGCCCCCCGGCCCCTCCACCTCCAGCCGATAGCGGGCGGGGTCCACGGCCGGCACCGGCAGATGGTTGCGCTTGAAGAAGAGCTGGTTAGGCGTCAGGTAGTTCTCGGTCAGCAGCTCAGCCGGCGGCTCCGCGTTGAAGGGCTTGAGGCTGTTGACTTTGAGGGCAGGGTGCCGAGGGGGGTCCCCGGAGTAGGGGTCCCCCTGGGCGGGCTGGCTCGGCTCCTCGGGGCTCAGCTCCCCCACCTTGTAGCCCCGCAGGATCTCCAGCACGTGCTCCTGGCCATGCACGGCGTACATGGCCCAGAACGGCTCCAGGGCGCCCCCCGCTGCCAGCAGGATCTTGCTCTTGCCCCCCGGGTGCAGCTCCACGAAGTCGGTGATGTCAAAGACCTCGCTTCCGTAGGTCACCCAGACCCGTTCGGCCAGGCTGCGGTGCCGCCCCACCTCCTGGCGGGTGAACACGGGGTACGGTGCCCTGGGCATGGCCACAGCGTTCGGCTCGGCCTCTGATGCCTGCAGAGAGATGGGCTCATGAGTGCGGCCGCCAACGTCCACCACAGACCTCTGAGGGCCCGGCCCCCCATCCGCCTCGGGGGAATGGGACTCAGAGGGGGAAGGGACGCACCGCAGGCTATGCAGCACATCAGGGGCAGAACTGGGAGTGGGACTAGGAGTCCTGGCTCCCAGCTCTAACCACTAGATCCCACACCCCTCCCAGAGCCAGAGCCAGAACCCAGGAGTCCTGGCTCCCAGCTCTAACCACTGGATCCCACGCCCCTCCCAGAGACAGAACCCAGGAGTCCTGGCTCCCAGCTCTAACCACTGGATTCCACGCCCCTCCCAGAGCCAGAGACAGAACCCAGGAGTTCTGGCTCCCAACTCTAACCACTAGATCCCACACCCCTCCCAGTGACAGAACCCAGGAGTCCTGGCTCCCAGCTCTAACCACTGGATCCCACGCCCCTCCCAGAGACAGAACCCAGGAGTCCTGGCTCCCAGCTCTAACCACTGGATCCCATGCCCCACCCAGAGTCAGAGACAAAACCCAGGAGTTCTGGCTCCCAACTCTAACCACTAGATCCCACACCCCTCCCAGAGCTGGGGAGAGAACCCAGGAGTCCTGGTTCCCAGCCCTCCCACTCTAACCACTAGACTATGCCTCCTTCCCCACCTTTGTGCCCTGAGGCAGAGAGCTGAGCACCAGTACCCACTGCCTCCCCACCTGCTGCTTCCGCGCCTCCCCCCAGCACGGGCCCCTCCCACTCCACGGAGGCTCCGGGGAGCCACCGACCCCATGATGCTGGTCCCAGCTCCTTTCTCACCTGTCTGCGGTGATCTCCATAGGCCAGGCCGGCGCCCAGGCCCAGCAGAGCACCCACGGCCATGACCTTCCATCTCTGGCTGCCGTCACCAGCTCTCCAGGTGCCATAAGTGCGGGAGGGGGTGCAGACTTGGGGGTGGGACCTCCAGGCCACAGCTGCCAACCTGGGGGAGAAACCAGGACTTCATTGAGGGCAAAAATCCCTCAGCAACCTCCCTGGGATCTACAGGACACCCAGGGTGCAAGCCCATCACCAGTCCTGCTTGCTTGCCAACTATCCCAAACCTACTGGCTGTGCAGCAGGGGGCGCTCTCTGTACAGGGCTGACCCCACTGTGGCACTAGGGGGTGCTGTGCTGTGGGGAGCAAGGTGGGGCTCAGCAAGGGGTGCTCTCCCCCTTCCCCACGTTTCTGGCCCACTTCCAACCCAGCTAATTACATTCTGCCAGACCCGGGAGTCCTGTTCCCCTCCTTTGCTAGGCGACCATTGCTGTGCGGCTGTTAAGCAACTGCCGCTTGCCACCCCAGAGGTGGCTGCATTTCAGCCTCCAGCCACCGGGCTCCCTCTGGTGTGAGCTGCTCCTTTGAGAGCTGCTTTCGGCAGCGGGTCCATGGACTCCTTCCCAGTCCAGAACCCGGTGGAACATTAACCCAGTGTTCCTCCCCAACAGGTCTGACAAAATTACCAGCCATAGAGCCATACCAGATGAAACACTCCTGCTCTCGGGCTCGGGCTCCCCTGGGGCTGAGAACTGTCTGCAGGGGGACCGCAGAGATTAGATTAGAACCCAGATCAGATTAAAGCCCCTGGGTGATTTTGCAAAATCCTGGCAAGGTGTCAAAGCAGCAGCTGCCCTAAAGAGAATCCCAAAGGAAGTTCACTCCAGTTCCCCCCCCTGCTTTTCTCTTTGTGATCCTAGGGGCTGCAGGTCAGGACTGAGGTTCACCAGCGGAGCTGCAGGGGAGCCCAGGGCTGGGCTAGCAGGGGGCTGGGGAGTGAGGGGCACCGGCAGAGCTGTGGGAGGCAAGGAACTGGGCTAGCAGGGGGCTGCAGGGTAGGATGGAGGTTCACCAGCAGAGCGGTGTTGGGGGGCCCAGGGCTGGAGCAGCAGGGGAGCTGTAATGCCTCTCATACCTAGGTGTTCTCTGGAGGCCCCAGGGTCCTCTCATGATGGGTCTGAGCAGCAGCATCTCTGCCAGACCTGTGCAGGGAGCAAAAGAACAAGAGATAAATGACCTCGCCTGCAACCCACGAACCCCCGAGATGCCCAAACAAGCAAGGCAGGAACAGTCCTGGGGGGATGAGGGGGGGGACGAGGGGCACATGCAGCAGCTTCCTCCTCCCAGGCCAGGTATCCCAGATCCCACAGCAATGAGCACACCTCTGCTGGGGGGGTCCCAGCTCAAACCAGAGACCAGCCACCAGGAGCCATGTCCGAGCCACAGTTCCCAGATCAGCCAGCAAAGGGATCGGGGCAGGACGCGGCTGGCTTGGCCGATCCTCCCGCCCCCACCGGAGAAGCTGTCCGCAAAGCCGAACCACCATTCAGGAAGGCGGGACATTGATCCAGCGGCTGGAATTGGCAGCCGAGCCCTGCTCCAGCTTGGCAGAGTTCCTGGCTTCGGTCCTGCCAGCGCCAGCCTCTCAGGCCGTGTTTCCCTGGAGCGTTCAGGCCTCGTTTTCCCAGAGGGATTACCCAGCAGGATCTCTTCCTTCCATTCTAAACCCCCAGGGTAGGGGCCACAGCACAGCCCAGACCAACTGCGTGTCCGGATTTAAACCCCCCCCCACAGCCCCTAACCTCGTGTTCAAACAGCTCCCGGGGGCGAACGCACGGGATCTTTGTCGGGATGGGGATGAGGCAGGTGGACAAGTCAACACCCAGTACTGGGCACCACGGGATTCAGCTGACTTAGGAACCTGCCCAAACTCCTGGATGCAGCCGCCCCGGCCCATTGGGATCTAATCACTGAGACGGAGATTTCTTTGCATCGGATCTACGAACTGGATGAAAGAGAAACTGGGCTGCAGCCAGGTGCTTGGGTCGGCCAGAGTCAGAGCAAGCTTGGCCCGCAGGGAAAATAACCGCTAAAGAGTCACCAAATGCAAATCAGCTCCCAGGACGTGGGGGCCAGGCTGCCCCAGGCTGGGGGAGGAGGGAACAGGAGCACAGAGGAATTTGGACCAGATCAACCTAGAAAGAACTTCTTACTCCATCTGCCCCAGGCCACACACAGTCACCCCCTCCCGGAACCATCCCCACAAACACACCTGCCCCCATCAGCCAGCTGCGGGGTGTTTCTGCCACCTCCTGCAGCCCCCCCAAACACTTGGGGACCAGGCTCCCCATACAACTGGGCACTGCACATGGAGAAAGAAGGGGAGGCCCAACATGGCCCAAATCCCTATCTAGACCCTGCCAGGGGGAGCCCAGAACAGGTGGGAGAGGGGAACAATGTACAGACTCTGCCCCCAAATGCTCCTTAGCGCCCACCGGGCAAGGAGCAATGTACAGGCAGAGCACCATGGAGTCCCAGAACACCGCCCTCAGCCAGTCTCCCCCACAGAGCACCCTGCCCCCCAGGGCAGCCCCCTATGCACCCCACAGAGCGCCCTGCCCCCAGGCAGCCCCCCTCGCACCCCACAGAGCGCCCTGCCCCCATTGCAATCCTCCATGCACCCTACAGCCCCCAGGGCACCCCACACTGCAACCCTCCATGCACCCCACAGAGCACCCTACCCCCAGGCAGCGCCCCTCGCACCCCACAGAGCGCCCTGCCCCCCAGGGCAGCCCCCCTCGCACCCTACAGCCCCCAGGGCACCCCACACTGCAACCCTCCATGCACCCCACAGAGCACCCTGCCCCCAGGGCAACCCCCCCACAGAGCACCCTGCCCCCAGGGCAACCCTCCATACACCCCACTGCCCCCAAGGCAACCCCCACTGCAACCCTCCATACACCCCACAGGGCCCCCCCCCACTGCAACCCTCCATGCACCCCACAGAGCGCCCCGCCCCCATTGCAATCCTCCATGCACCCTACAGCCCCCAGGGCACCCCACACTGCAACCCTCCATGCACCCCACAGAGCACCCTGCCCCCAGGGCAACCCCCTCACAGAGCACCCTGCCCCCAGGGCAACCCCCACTGCAACCCTCCATACACCCCACAGGGCCCCCCCCCACTGCAACCCTCCATGCACCCCACAGAGCGCCCCGCCCCCAGGGCAACCCCTCCATGCACCCCACAGCCCCCAGGGCAACCCCTCCACGCGCCCCCAGCGCACCCCCGTCACCCACCTATGACCACGGCGCGCGGGGGAAGAAACGTCACCGCGCTCCGTAACCAGCCCCCTGCCCTGAGCCTGCGCCTTTAAGGCCGGGGACGGGCGTGTCCTCGGGGAGTGACGTCAGGGGTGGAGCCGAACCCCGCCCCCTGGGGCGGGGCAGCGGCGATTTAAAGGGCCAGAGGCCGCGCGCAGCCGCTGGGGGAGCAGAAGGGGAGGCAGCCGCGGGGGGCGGGGCCTGCCCCAGGAGCAGCACGTGGCCTGCTGGTTCCCACGCAGGGGGCGGGGGCGAGGGCGAGGGCGAGGGCGGGCGCCCTGGGGCCAGTCGCCCGCCCTGGGGCCAGTCGCCCTGACCCCGGCGCCCGTCGCCCTGACCCCGGCGCCCGGGGGTGACGTGGCTGCAGTGAGGGAGGGTGGGATTTGGGGGTGCGGGGGGGCTCGTCAGGGCACCTGCAAACTCACCTGGGACCCCTCACGCTCCCCCTAGCTCATTGGGGCACCAGGGCAAAACCCAGCCGCCAGCGATCTACGGGGTAAGGCCCGGCCTGGCTAGGACCAGGGTGCAGCTCTGGCTCCCGGCCCGGGCTGGGGCAGTACCGTAAATTACACGCGGTTCCTCGCCCCTGGCAGCAGCCCGGGGCTCCTGGCTACAGGAGGGAGCGGAGGCCAAAGTAGGGGGGTACCATCTTTCCACCACGAAATACACAGCCACTTACCTTAACCTACAGCCTAATCCGCCCACCGCTCCCAGCCCCGGGGGCTGCTCCTGACTGTGAATTGAATGCAGGAGTTTGCCCTGGGCTAAGGTCCTGGGACACCACTCCAACAGCCCCAAGAAACTCACAGCCCCTGCCCCGGAGGGGGGGCGGGGGGGCTTGTAGAAAGTCTCTACAGTAGCCCTGGCTGCTAAGCAGCAGACCAAGGGAGGAAGGGTGGGCTCCACCCTATAGCTGTTCTGCATGTCCCAGCTCAGTACGTTAGAGCAGCCCTGAGACTGCTCTAATTTCCACTGGGAACCAGCCCAGTCCCCGTACAGCTCCAGACCAGAAGTGCAAAGGTGGCAAAAATCTACCCTTGTCCCCCAGCCCCAAGCGCAAAACCAGAGTAAGTGAGACTCCGTCCTGCGATCCTGAATTCGCTCCAGAGCAAGCCGAGGTGAGGGGTGGTATTGGAGGGAGCTAGCTCCGCGGCCCTCTTCAGCCTTAGCAGAGGCGGGGTGTGGGGAGGGGAGGGGAGGGGGGAGGGGAGGGGTGCTTGTTAGTGCCAGTTGTAGGGACACATTTTGCTGCGTAGACACAACCCCTGGAAACCAGAGACAGACCCACCCGGACATGAAACAGGAGCAAATTCTGGCAAGTGCCCCCAGCAGCTGACTTTGAACCCATGACCTTTCAGTGCAAGACTCCATCAGCCATCTCTCCCAGGGCCATACCCCTGCCAGCCCAATTCAAACCCAGGAACCCACTCGGCAGCTGGCAAGGGGCAGCAATTCCCCCTCTCAGACCCAGCCGTATGTGTGTGGAGGGGTGCAGCTACCCTACAACCAGCCAGCTCATGCCCTGGGAAACCTCCCCCCCCGGCCCACACACCCAGGCAGCTCAGCCCCTCCCTATGAATGGCTTCTTCAGCCAGAGGAAAGTCTTAATCCATGGAGAAGTGGGGGGAAGCAGGTAGCTGCATAGGGCCAGCAACAGGCCATTGAGCAGAACTAGCCTTCTGCGGGTCCCTCGACCTGCCCAAGATCTAGGCGGGGCCCGGCCTCGGCCAGCCCACAGTGCCAGAGATAACGTTTATCACTGTGGACCAGCATGGCTGAGAGCTGGGAAGGAGCAGATTCTATTTCCCACCTCCCCCCTGTTCTCCAAACTCCCCGGCCCCTGGCACACCCAGGAAGAGAAGAGCAGCAAGGTACCACCTTGCCCAGTTTGTCAAATGCCAAGTGTACCATGCCTCAGCCCCTTCTGAGGGGGCAGACCGGGGCCTATGCTCATTACCATGCTGGGGAGTGCGCACAAAGCCATTGCACCTCCCCCTGCCCCCTCCCCATGCTGGGCCCGCAAACACTTGGCCTGGAACGAGCCCCTCCCTCCTGGCATCAGCCTCGGGAGAACCAGCCAGGCAGAAGTGTTCATGATGAACAGGGAAGAGGCGCTCTGCCCTCAGGTAGTGCCAGGGGCTTGCCCCACAGTGCATCTCAGCCCCTGCCCAGGACGAGCTGTCAGGGTTACTTCCCCACTCTGGGGTACAGATGTGGGGACCCGCCTGCAAGACCCCCTAAGCTTATTTTTACCCGCTTAGATGAAAAACTTTCCCAAGGCACAAATTCCATCTTGCCCTTGAACAGTACGCTGCCACCACCAAGTGATTTAGACAAAGAATCAGGGAAAGGCCCACTTGGCGTTCCTGTTCCCCCAAAATATCCCCCCAAACCCCTTCACCCCCTTTCCTGGGGAGGCTGGAGAATAATATCCTAACCAATTGGTTACAAAGTGAACACAGACCCAAACCCCTGGATCTTTGGACACTGAAAAGAAAAAAAAAAAAAGAGAAAAAAAAATCAATCCGTTCTTAAAAGAAGAATTTTATTTAAAATAAAAAAAAAAAAAAGGAAAAAGGTAAAAATCCCCTCTGTAAAGTCAGGTGGGAAGAGAACTTTACAGGGTAACAAAAGATGCACAAAACACAGAGGAACACCCCCCCCGCCCCGAGCCTTAGCTTCAAAGTTACAACAAAACAGGGATAAGCCTCCCTCCAGCAAAGGGAAGATTCACAAGCTGTGAAAACAAAGATAAACTAATCTCCCTTACCTGGCTGTACTTACAATTTCTGTAATAGGAGAGACTGGCTCAGAAGGGTTTGGAGGACATGGACTGATGTCCAGTCCCGCTTAATCCCAGGAGCGAACACACACAGAAACACAGAACCCAAACCAAAGCCTCTCCTCGCCCCCATGCAGCCGACCAAAGCTCATGCTCCAATACGCCTGTTCGTCTCTAAGGTGCCACAGGACTCATGTCTCCGAGGAGCAGCCGTGTTAGTCTGTATCCGTAAAGAGAACAGGAGGACTTGTGGCGCCTTAGAGACTAACCCATTTATTTGAGCGTAAGCTCACTTCATCAGATGCTCACGAAAGCTTACGCTCAAATAAATGGGTTAGTCTCTAAGGTGCCGCAAGTCCTCCTGTTCTTCTTACAGGACTCTTGGCCGCTTTTCCAGATCTGGGCTAACACGGCTCCCCTCTGATGCAGATTTGAAAGTATCTTTTGTCCGCATTGGTTCCTTTGGTCAGGTGCCAACCAGGTTATTTGAGCTTCTGAACCCCTTGCAGGTAAGGAGGAATTTTATGCTACCCTTAGCTGTATATTTATGACACGAGCCCTTAAGGCCAGTGCCAAGGCTGCCAGGCAGGAGGCCACTTGGTACCAATCACGCCCAGTAGGAACTGGGCTGAACCAGCCTCAGGCCAGCCCATGGACACACAGGACTTCCCCCCGCTTCCGACCTGGACTCGCCCCAGCCGCAGAGAAATCACAGTCTCCCTCGCCTTCGCCTAGGACCCAACCTGACCCCTCCTGTCACTTGTTGATTTAACTCTGCACCTGTGGATGGTGACATCAGCCCAGCTCTTAGCAGGCGGGGGCAGAGAGGCAACCCTGCTGTGCCATGCATTCACACTCCTGGCTCCTGCTGGTCACAAGAGGCGTTAGGAACAGAGACTGCTAGAGCCGAGGAAAGAGGTTGCTCAGGCCACTTGACCACCTGGAGCCTGAAGCAGCTGGTGCCCAGACAGACAGACACCCAGTCCCATCCACTTGGGCCTTCAACTTGCGTCTCTCAGCTCCCGAGAAGCACGTCCGTAGCCCGACCTGGCTGCAGGCTAGAGGTGGTTTCCTGCCAGTCACACTCCCTCAGTGGGAGCATCAGGTGGCCTGACTGAAACCCCTTGTCTATCACCCCCCAGAGGGGGGCAACCCACCTGGGCTCACTGGGCATGGTGGGATTCTGCCCCAGCCCAGGAATTCACATCAAAGCAAGTGCAGGTGGGTGCTGGGGAGCTGGGCTCAGGCTGGCCCTGTTTGGGAGCGGGGGGGGCATGTGACACTCAACCCCCTCCAACAGGCACCTTGATAAATCCGGTGACACCCCTAAGCTGGTGCCAGGCCAGGCCCTGCCAGTCATGAGCTTTGGCTTACAGGCTGCTCAACTGCACCCTCTGCTGACCAGCCAGGCAAAGGACAAGCCTAAGCCCCCAACTACAGCCTTGTGCTCCAGGCACCCTCCTCCAGAGAGGGCTGGGGGCGAGAGCAGCTCTGCAATAGCCGTAGGGGATCTGCACCCTGCTGTGCTCAGTACCCCAGGATCAGAGCCCGGCCTGGGCTGGGGGAGCTGGGCGCACAGGCAGGGGAACTGCCTTCGGGGTACCCAGGATCATTCCGGTTTGCCTCAATGGCTGGTCACGAGCACAGACCCTGCGGGCGTGAAGGGGAGGCCCAGCACAGGTGAGTTAAAATCTCAGCTGTTCCCCCCCCTTCGGTCCTTGGGGTCCGTGGATGGGGCTGAGAGGCAGTAGATTTTCACATGTCTACTGCCCGGCTGGCTGCGGGTTCAGAAACAATTCCTTTGCTCCCCTGATCTGACCCCACAGGAGCCAGGAGGAGAGCGGGTTCTCTCCGGGATGGAGAAGCCAACCCTCCATACCCCCCCCAGCTAGCTCCAGACACAATAAAACAGCAGCTTCATTTAATACACGGATTTTTTTCTGACATTAAATACATTGGTAAATCAGCTGTTAAATTCTGTTACCATGATTGTTATTTTAAATGCGATGTAGGAGCTTTCTCAAAGCAAAAACAACTGATCAGAAAAAAAAAAAAAAAGGCAAGCGGGATTAGGGGGGGCGGGGGGGGTTCAAAAGCTGCAGTGTCCCAATTTGGTCCAGGGATTTAGCCAGAAAACACACACTCCTGTAAGAGGGTTATGGACACTGGTGAATGTAGAGGACTCTGGACACAGGCTCTGTGCGTTCCAGCTTTGCCAGCAGGGTGGATGCTGCACGAAGAGCACTGGTTGTCGGACAGGTAAGCAGAGTCTTTCCACCGAGCAGAAAGAGTCTTTCCAGCAAGGACAAAGCCCCCCATGTACGTTAGAAGTGCAGCCTGAAATCTCCAACAACACCCTTGTGTTAGTGGCAGGGGGAAGTTACATGTCATGTCACTGCAGGGACTGGAGGAGAAAAGAACCGAATACCCACGAGGCCATGCCACGCTTCAGCCTCCCGAAGGTCTCCTGGCTGCAAGAAAGGGCCCCCCGCGCACAGCCCAGCTCAGCGAGGAGTGATGGTAAAGGCTAGCTCAGCCTCCCAGCCACTTCCTAATCTATTTCCCACCCGTCCTGGGCTGGGCCTGGTGCTTCCCCTGCCTAGTTGTTTCGCTGCTTCAACTCTGCTTGACTAGACAATACAAAACGAGAGGAGGACAGGAGCCTGCTTCCTGCAAGATGCTGGGGCTCCAGTTTGGCTAGTGCTGGGGGAGGGCCTCTCCCCCTTGGAGAGATCCCACTTCAAAGCCACCCCCCGCACACACACCCCCAATAAACACACAGGGCGACATCCTCATCTCAGCCTGGGAACCTTGAGCAAGGCACGAGCTCCCTCGCAGGCTCTCCCCGGGACAGCCAGTGCAGGAACAGTGCGGAGGGGCCGGCCGATTCTCAACATACGACTGAGCCGGCAGAAGGGGCCAGGACTGACAGCACCGGAGGCAGTTCATCCAGAGAACAGGTGCAGGGGGATGTGCAAGATTCCCTTTGTCCCTGCTCTGGGAGACTCCCACAAGACGTAAAGTTAAGCCTGTGGCCGTCAGCCTCCAAGGCACCGAAGGAAAGCCGCCAGCTAGTGCCAGCAGTAACGGTGTGTCAAGGATCCTCGGCAGGTCACAACATATCCACGGGCAACTCAGGGCAGCTCAGAGCCAGAGGCAAGAGACTCCGTGCCCTGGTCTCCCCCTGTATCCAGGCAGGGCACCAGGACCGTTTTGCTGTCCAGTTTGGAACCTGCTACAGTACATTAAGCCCCAGGGAAGACTGTCTGAACAGGCAACCCCTGTAACAGGAGGTTCCCGCTACGAGCGGCTCTATCATTAACAAAGCTACGGGGGTGCTGCTCTGATGCCCTGGGATCAGCTGTTCCAGGACTACCCCGGGGGCTTCCCATCCAGCCCAACAGAACCAAGCGCTATTTACAGCCCAAATAAAACATGCGGCTACTTTGCACATGAGAGCTTGTATTTCCAAGGGGCCCTCAGCGGTGGAGCGGAGTTTGTGACATTACACAGACAGGGAGTGCATGCAGCCAGGCTGGGTGCTTGTGACCTGCCGACGTAACCAGCTGGGGCAGGCGTGGGTGTGAGGTGCGAAAGACCCTCCCTGGGAGCAGTGACACCCCTCTCCCTCAGCGCCCAGAGAGGAGGCAGACTGGACTGTGCTTTGATGTCAGTTTCCCCCTGCAGGTTCTCCTGGCAGGCACCTCCAGGTAACCAGTGTGTTCCCCTTCCATGGGGAGGGGCCGAGCCCTCGCCAGCATCCCAGAGGGAGGAGGAGACTCTCCTTGCATCATCCGCCCTCCCCACCTCACCCAAGTTCCAGCCCATGCTAGAAAGGCAAGGGAGCCGATCCACACATGCTGAGCTGGACAGGGGCACAGGGAAGGGGAAGTACACAGCACAGCTGCCATTCCCAGGACCAGGAAGGCAGGTCCTCTGCCTTTGCATGGCCTCACCTTCTTTAACACCAACTCCCAGCCCCATGTCCCTCCTGGAGCTCCCTAGGTTTGCTGCTCAGCACGCTCACCACCCCACCCCCTCCTACAGACAAAGAGGGGACACCCCTGCTCTGGGACTATTTTATGACCCCCCCCATTCTGAAGTGATCCTTGCTAGTCACTTGGGACTGCAGTGTAACAGACAAAGTGAGCCCAGTTTCCCTGCACATAGGAGCAGACTGGAGCCCAGAGAATAAAACCTTTGGTGGGTTCCTCTTCGCGGAGGGAGCAGCAGAAATCAGTGCGGTGACCCCCCCCAGGAGCCCTCCAGCTAGCTTAAACTGAATGTGGCCCAAGACAAGATAAGCTCAACTGGACAGACTGGAGATTAAAGTGCAAACCAGAGAATTTGAGCGCCTGGTGATGGGGGAAGAATAAACCAACAGCTCCGAGAGGCCAGGAGCTCTTGAGGGGCGTATCACTGCAAGATACTGGGCGCAGCCGAAACTTTGGGGTTTTACACCCCCACCCAAGTCAGTATTAATGATACCATTTGCCACACAGCTGTAGAATCCATCCACCAGCTGACGCTGGGTGCACTGGCCTGGCGTTACCAAGATCAGGGGGATTACGGGAACGTAGTTCATGATTCTATTCATGCTGCTGAGACTTCGCAGCACTGAAGAGTCATTGTCTGTGTTCGCTTCACAGCGATCCATGCTAGCCAGCAGGAGGCCTGATTCTAGAGCACAGGATTCCACCCCTCACTTCCCCCCGTTCCCCCACCACTTCCACTCCCTTGCCGGAAAGGCCACCCAGGAAGAAATTAAGGACACTGCAGCTTCCCCCCATCCCCCAAACATTGAAACAGATGAAAAAAACAGGATAAAAATTAAAGAGAAAACCCACAAGACACCCTCAGAAATAGCGTTTTCTGTAGGTCCCCATTCAACTTATTCTTCATGAAATAAACCTACAAGGGTTAAGTTTCCACCTCCTTTGGGCCCCTCCCCCCAGCATTAAATAAAGGGGGGGGATGGGTAGAAGAGGACAGGTGTTACAGGACCGAGAACACAGAGGGGGTGGGGGGGAGGGAGGAATCAATCAGAATTAGGTAGCTATTTGCACCTGTAATACAAAGCGAAGAGTTTGGTTTTTGGAAGTCAAGTCCCCGGTCGATCTAGTTCCACTGTCACTGGGGGGGGACGGGGGGGACAGGTGTCTGGCGGTGGTTCTGAAGCATTAAAAAGTGCAGTTAGAGGCATCAGGAGGGATTCGGTTCAGACGGGTGTCGGTGCGCCGGTGTTAGGGGAGGTGAAGTGTGGTGGGCAGGGGTGGGAATGGAGGTTATATCTTAGCTCTTCCTCTCGCGTCGGCCTCTCTCGAAAGCCACCCTTCAGTTGCTACAACACTGGCTCTTGTTCTGCTGGCTCTGCTCGTGGAGGTCCACGCCTCGGCTCCTTCCCGCCACGCCACTCGTGCTCTGGGGCTCGCTCTTTGGCAGCTTCTTGGCTGGAGGGGGGGGAGAGGGGAGAGTGAGCGAGGCCGACGGAGGGGAGCAGTAACAGCAACTGCTCCCCTCCCAGCCCCTTGGGCCACAGCAACGCCGCTGACCACCTTCTGCCCGGGCCGGCTCTCAGATGGCCCATTTCTGAGACTCCAGTCTGGATTTCAGAGCCACCTCCCAGCTGCCCCCACCACCACTCTGCTCTCAGGGGAACCCAGCTCCTGTCCTGCTGCGTCCCCCACGGCCCTCCAGAGCGAGCCAGCACCAGGAGAGCTGGCTGGAGTCGCTCCTGCTCCCCTCAAAGCTCACGTGCAGGTCCTGCTGCACAACCGACCATTACAGGCTCCACCCAGGCCAGAAGGAGCCAGCCGAGCTCCCAGGGCCTTTACGTGGACGCGGAGATTTGGAAACGTCCCAGGCGATGCAGATTCTGCGCAAGTGGCAGCTCCCAGGGCTTTTGTTTGCCCAGGTGGATTTGAAGGCACTAAAGACGAAGGTGCTAAGAAAATCAGAAATGAGGCAGCCCTGGAGATGTGAGAAGGAGCCACGGTTTCAGCCAGCTCCGTGACCAAGCAGGGATGTAGAAGGTGTTCAAGGGCAAAGACCCAGCAGCGTAATCCGTAACTGCAAAGGCTAGCCTGGCACTTCCCTAAGGGAGATCTTCGTCCCTGGTCCCCTCCGAGTCTTCCAAGGCTAATGCTGCTTCAGCATGGAGCCTCCACGTTGACCCCGCACCAGAGCCTGACAACAAATCACGGCTTGCTTCCTTACTGAATATTCAGCAGTAAGCTCCCCCCCCCAGCCCCCAGAAACACCCTCAGGAACCACGTTATGTCCTGGAGCAGGACAGGAAGGGGGGCTCCCCATGGGGCTCCAGCCCTCCACATGGGCTGCATGAATCAGCATCTGTACAGAGCTCAGGTGGGAACTGCCTCCCGCAGCCACCTGGTGCAGAGCTCCCGACACAGAAGCCTGGTGGATCTGCAGCAGGCCAGGGGCACCTTCGGCCTGTCTACTGCCCTGGGGCGGATGCCGTCCAGCACCCACACCTTACCGATTGCCAGGAAGAGATCGTTAACGTTCATCGCTGTCTTGGCAGACGTCTCCATGAACAACAGGCTGTTGTCATCAGCGTAGGCTTGTGCCTCCTGTAACAGACACACAAGTATCACTGTTCCGGGGGGTTCCTGCCTGGAGGGCGTGGGAAGGGTGAGTGGTGGCCAGACCCACCAACGAGGCCCTTTTACCGGCACTGACAGTCCCGCCTCTACAGAAGAGGCCGAGGTCCTCTGCAATGCAGCCAAGCCAGCAGCTCCAGAGATGGACCGTTAACCACAATGGACTAGAGGCAGAAAGCAGCAAACGCTGCTCTGTCGGAGGCTTTGAGAGGCTGCTGCAGAGACTACGCCGCTCAGCGCTTTGCAGGGGCTCGGCTGTGCTGACAGGCCTAGCCAGCTGCCCTTTGAGCAGTGGGAATGGATTCCCGCCAGCGAGACGGGAGCAGTGATCCACCTCGCAGGGCAGGGTGGAGAACGCCCCGTGCCGCTCAGAGGGGCTGCTGACACGGCAAGGATTGTTTACTGTGGGCAGCGATGCTGCTGCAAACCCCCCCGCTCCTGTGTGGATTAGATTTCCCCTTCCTAGTGCAGCCACCGTACTCAGGTTCTCACTGCCACTGGGCGTACCTGACAGCATGTGCCCAACGGGCCCAAAAGCTGCCGGCTGGCCGGCCCCTGGCCAGAGCAGAGACTCCCGGGCTGCTGCAGCTAGATGCCAAGAGGCTTTCAAAGGCCAGGGGCAGAACTCGGGGGGCTGGGAAGCCTTAGCCAAGTCCACAAACCCCAGCTACTCACTTCATATTCTACCATGCGCTTGTTGGCGAGGTCAGCCTTGTTGCCCGCTAAGGCTATGACGATGCTGGGGCTGGCTTGCCGCTGTAGCTCTTTCACCCATGTCTTCGCTCGGGCAAACGTTTCCTGGAAGAGAAAGGTGAGAGAGGACAGCGTAAAGTCAGTGACCTGCCAGACTCTGGGAGAGTCTGCAGCCAAGCTAGAAACAGAACCCAGGTTTCCCAGCTCCTTGCCTTAACCCTGAGACCATCCTTCCTCCTAGACTGGGACAATTCCGTGCCTCCCTATTCCCCCTGGCACCAGGAAAGCTAAGGGAGAACTCCAAATGTACCTGGTTGGTGATGTCATAGACCACAATGGCAGCTTGTGCCCCCCGGTAATACATTGGGGCCAGACTGTGATATCTCTCCTGGCCAGCTGTGTCCCAGATCTCAAACTTGACTGTTGTGTCATCCAGGCAGACGGACTGTGTGAGAAACGCCGCTGTTGAGAGGAAAGGAGACAGTAGTACAAGTAGCAGTCAGCCCGTTGCGCTGGGTTCTGTGCATACAGCAAGAGAGGCCCTATCCTGGAGAGCTGTCAATCTAAGTAGATTGACAGGCAAAGCCCAGAAGGGGAAGTGACTCGCCCAAGGGGACACAGCAAGTCGTTGGCAAAGCCAGGTCTCCTGACTCCGAATCTAGGACCTTGGAGCATGCTGCTCTCTAGGCATCGTTCACACAGGAACAGGTTAATCATTTCAAGTTTGGACATTGACATAAACATTCACCCCGTATTGCTGAAACCCAGCTGCACGCTTATGCGGAGATCGAAGACGGCTCACATGGCATCTGCAATCAGGAACCAGTCCTGTGTTCAGGAAGGAGCTGGGGGTTTGTGGCTGAGTTAAGGAGTTTGACAGACACTAGCGTCTCCCGATCCGTCATACGTGGGGGATACAAACAGGAACAGTGTTTGTGCCCAGGCAGGTTGGCACATCCCAGTGCTGTCGTGCGGGATGCAACACGAGCCAGAGCAGGATACTGTGACCTACATTTTCAAGAGGGACTAGCAATCATGTTAAAAGGGGCTTGGTTTTCAGAGGAGCACAGCACCCTTTGGTGTTAAATTGGGAGCCCTAGCGCCTTTCAAAGACATAAGCCTTCAGGAGCCTGGTTCCATTTCCCGCAGCTCTTGGGGCCAGAGTATTGGTGATATGCAGCGCCCCCCTCCCCCTCAGTAAAAAGGGTTTGCACGTGACTGTCAAACCTAACTGACCCTTAAGTCCCCCTTGCAAAGGTAGGGAAACAGACACAATGGGGTGGTGTTTGCCCGCAGCAGAGCCCAGGTGTCCTGGCTCCCAGTTCCACACGCTAACTGATGTCTAGGGATTTGTCTGGCCACGTGAGCGCACTGTCGGTCCCCCCAAGCTAGGGGGGAAGACAGGCTGAGAAAAGGCAAAAAATACATTAAAAAGGCTCTACAGGAGCCAAGACTGAGCACGCAGGTGGCGAGCAACCCAGGTGTCAGACCACCGCTGGGCCCTGAAGGAGTCAGGAACACGTCTCCAGGGGGATTCCCCCCGTGATCACTCAGCACTTCCTCAGCCCTCCCCTACTGCAAGTCTCCAAGCTCGCAATGAAAGGTGGGTCAGGGTGGTCCCCACTTTACAGAGGGGGTAGTGACACATGCACACGAACAGAACTCAGGTCTCAACTCCTGCTTCAGTTCTCTAGCCATTGGACAACACTGGCTCACTGCCCATTACACAGACATGCCACCTATTAATCCAAGGTGCATTGTGCTATCTTGTCTCAGCCGTGGTCTGAAAATTGGCTGTACCATCTTCACACACACGATGGGATTCTTTCAGGCGCGTCGGCAAGTCACAGCTACATCCTTGTACATACAGTGAGGCTGCAGGTAGTTCTGGAAGGAGCATGGATTCATTACGCCAACTACCACTGTGCCTCGCCCTGCTACTCACTTGGGCCCCTCTGAAGGCATGACAGGCCTTGGGCTGCTCACAGTGATAAGGCAGGTTCTGCAATGGCCAACCAAGGGCAGCTGGGCCCTAATCAGGTGGGGAGCGAGGGAAGCCAGGAGCTCCAGAGGACTGTGGGGAAGTCTGCATCTACCCCCTCGATACACACCCCCATGCTCTCGCACAGCACTTACCCCCGATGGTGCTCTCCTGGTATTCGTGGAACTGACCCTTGACGAAGCGCAGCACCAGACTGGACTTCCCCACCGCGGACTCGCCCAGCAGCACTAGCTTAAACTGACAGATTTTACTAGCTTGGGACTGACCATTCGGCCTGGCAGCTCCTCTGCTGGTCATGGCCTGGATTCCGGTCACAGCCTGCGCCCCAGCGGATCGGAGAACCTTCGTGCCACTGACCAGCTCTTGGCTTGGTTCTGAGCCAAGGAACAGTATCCTAGAGGCTCAACTCTCCTGAAACACAAGAGGGAGAGACGAATTAGCACATGGTACAGATACAACACTACAGAGTTTGAAGGGCTCCGAGTTTTTTGGTCTCAGACGTTATCTCCGTTGGATTTATGGATCAGTAACCGCCTTGCATACCACACACCAGGGTGAGCAAGGAATAGAACCCGGGAGTCCGACTTGCCTACTGCACCTACTAGGACACGCTCCCTTTCCTGCCAAGAGCTCCGATTCTCCCATACATTAAGGTAGAGAGATGCCCGAGCCTCACTGGCAGGTAAGCTTTAAAAAAGGAGCAAGCTGACAAGCAGAAATCGGGCCAAGGAGGGAAAGAAAAAGCTGGATCCTTACAACTGAGTGAGTCAGCAATCCTAGCAGATGTCTCACTTGCATTCCTGGAGAAGTAGCAAACAGCTCCTGGATAGGAACGCGCATTGCACCATGTGGTACCAAGGGCCAGGGCAGAGCCTCTGACCTGTTCTAGGAAGGGGCAGGAGGATTCAAGAACTCTGTTATGCAGCAACAAGCTCAGGCCCCATTTGCAGCCTGAATGCATCTGTTCTGTTTACTGCAAATGGCCTGAAATTCCACATCTGCTCATCTCCCCTCCCTGCCCCGGCTCTCTGGGGGCAGGACGGAGGGACTGACCTATTTCATCGCTGCCGTTCTGAAGGGAAATTCCTAAGTGAGGGACAGTCGAGTCAATTTTTGTTTACGTATTTTGAGACCCCCACTCACACGCGCAGTGCAGGCACGCTGCCATCGCACAAGGGCTATGGGTAGACCACGTTCCCTGCTCAGTTAACCACCCGCCAAATTTTAAAGCCTTCCCTGTGAAAAAGCTGTTACCAGCTCTTGCTGCAGAGTGAAATTGATGCAATCCTGGTCAGTTTCACATAGCCACTACCCATGGCCAAAAGAAGTTCTCCCCCAACCCAGGCAATGGGTGAAAAGACCATACTGCTGGGAGTTCTCAAGAAGAAGACGTGGTGAGACAGAAGGCTGACTACACCCAGAGCTGTGCTGGTTTAACTTAAACCAGTCTAACCCCGTTTAGTTAGACCAGTGCCAGAGGCTGTGTGAACAATTGACTGCAGTTGACGTGAAGTTAACTAGGAACAGGTTTAAACAAGATCTAAATAAGCCACTCTGAAACCTGAAGCATCCAAAAGGTGTGCACTAGTCTGGCAAAAGTGGTACGTGTACAGTCAACAACAGAGGGTCCTATTTCAAGTGGTGGGTGGAGGGGGGTTAACCAGGTAGGGATATAACTGGAATAGATTTTCATTGAAATAGGACACAATCTGAAATAAGCACCCAGACATCTGCATCGCAGAGGTGTGAACTACAGACTCTTGTTTTGGTTCCAGTTTGTGTGTAGCCAACACCTCGGGTCTGCCAGTGGCTGAGCGTTTATGTCCCTAAGAAGAAAAGGAGGACTTGTGGCACCTTAGAGACTAGGTGCCACAAGTCCTCCTTTTCTTTTTGTGAATACAGACTAACACAGCTGCGACTCTGAAATATGTCCCTAAGGTCTCTCAGGACTTCAGCCACGTCTACACTACCCGCGGGATAGTGATCAACCTATCGGGGATCGATTTATCATGTCTAGTGTAGACGTGATAAATTGATCCCCGATTGCTCTGCCGTCGACTCCGGACCACCACAGCAAGAGGTGGAAGCGGAGTCGACGGGGAGGGGCGGCCGTCGATCCCGCGCCGTAAGGACGCGAAGTAAGTGATTCTAAGTCTATCTAAGATACGTCGACTTCAGCTACGAGAATAGCGTAGCTGAAGTAGACGTATCTTAGATCAATCCCCCGCACCCCGGCAGCGTAGACCAGGCCTTCAACTCAATCCTTTGTGCAATGCACTAGGAGACTGTGAGAAAGGGTTCCTTCGATCTGATGTGAAATGCATTTTAAGACCTCAAAACACATGCATGCTAGCGATGCTTCTTTATTAGAATCCCCTTAGAAAACAACGGATGCTGACCTGTGTTAATTCAAATAGCTCTACATCTGCGTTAGGACGTTAGTAACTGCCAAAAAGGTATCGGGAGCAATGAAAGAAAATGGCATTAAACTTCAGAGTCTGTTTATTTCACCATTTAACCGATTAAATTGTGAGGCACAGCTTAGCCCTTTATTCCAGTGGATTCTCACCCCCAGCGATGAGTCGGGGGAATTTAGCAAAGCACGTGTTGGTTGGTTTGCCTACCTACTCTCCGAAGCCCATTTCTGGATTCCATAGCCAGCACTGGTGACCTTGGAGCTAAGGGCAGACAGGTTTCTCAAATGCAGGCAACTGGGCCAAGATTTTTCCAGAAGTCCTGATTGTGGCTATCAAATCTGAGACACCTTCAAGAGACCTGAATCAGAGGCTGTGCGCTCAGGTCCCCTTGAGGCCTCTTAAAATTAGACACCCAAAAATCACTAGCCATTTTTCAGTGTCTCAGGCCTTTCCTTCTGAGTTCAAACCCTAAAGGAAGGGCTTCCAGGTCTTGAGGTGAGAGATCGGATCCAAGACTGGTGTGTTATAGGGCAGACCCTGGAGCAAAGATTTGTTAGCATTAACAGGGCCAAGTATACAAGAAAACAAGGGTCATCTGAAGACTTATCAGCGAGCAGCCAGGAAAAGCCTGGCCATTTCCCGTTCCCCATCTGCTTTGAGACAAGCAGACTAAAGGCCAAAACCTGGCAGGAAATGCTCACTGTAACCGCTGTGATTTGTACAAATTGAACGCTGGGCAGCCCAATACTTCCCAGTCCCACCAAGGAAGAGGGACAGTCACCATTTTATTGTTCAAAAAGCAAGAATCCAAGGACAATGGGAAAAGGTTTCAAAGCCCATAATGGCCAAAGCTGTCTGGTAGCAACCCAAGTACTGCACGTTCAGCTTTCCTGGAGCTGAGCTGGCTAAAGACAGGGAAACGCTTCCTTCCGCTTCGAGGACCTTGTTTTGTTAAATATGTGAGAGAGGAATGATTAAGCAATGACCTCGTCAGCATCCTATGAGAGTTTCCTGGGGAGAGTCCTGCGTGATTCTGGGGAAGCTGGCACAAGCCAGAGTGTTCCGATGCTTAGAAGCCACTCTCTGCTTTGTGGCACCGGGGCACAGCTTCAAATTAGGCCAGACACAGATGGGGAGAGTGAGATACAGAGGGAGCAATATGAGGGTTAAGCAACTACAATTAGGGCCAGAGTTGAAAGTCCTCAGCGCCTCCCATCGCGAGCTGATCTCTTTCGGAAGTCCGGCCCTTGGAAGAATAAGAATACTGGGCTTCTCCAACTGAAGACATTCCCATTGCTTGTCCCAGAGGGTGAATTGCTGGTCACCCCACCCTCTCTCTCAACCTGCCAATCACTGGATAGTTACAACACTTTGTATGCTGGCTTCAGCAAGTCACAAGAGGCTAAACACGAAGGATATTTCAGAGCAACAGCCAGGATTTGACAACAGCACCACCTCATTGCAAAGCCAGTCACCACAGACCCTTAAAGGTGACCTGCAAAGGGTGGTTTGTTTGGGTTTTTTAAAACAGCTTTGCCTTTGAAGGCTTCCGCAGAAATCAGGAACCTTGTCTGGCCTTCCCTCTATGCTGGAGGTCCGAGCTCTCACACCTTAATTGTTCAGTCTGAACAAAGGTGTTCTCTCCCCCGAGCAGGTGTTTGGTATTGGGGAGCAGGTGAGAAGATGCTGTAACCATTCTGACAAATCTCTTCTCCGCAACTGCTGCAGCTTCCGCTTCCTGGTGATGTGCTCATTTCATTTGTTCCCTAAGTCACCACAGGCTTCCAGGGGGGTTGGACAGGAAAGTAACAAAGACACTTTTCAGATTCTTCTACAGCATAAAGATGCTGACACAAGCCAAGCTACCCTCCTCCTCACTGCAGCTCAGGTCACCTAAGTGCCTAGTAAATTGGTACCAGATAAATGGTCATCTCTCAACAATTCTCTGCACTCAGACAGGGCCTTTCAAGCCAAGGATCTCAAAGCACTTTACGAACCTAGCTGAATTAAGCCTTCCCATACCCCAGGGAGTAGCACCCCCATTTCAGAGAGGGGGAAGGGAAAGCACAGACATGAAGTCACTTGCCACGGCCATAAAGCGACTCTGGCAGAGCTGTGTGTCAGGCATAAGAACATTCAACCTGCATGCTACTTCGCACCTCCTAAGAGCTCCTTCTGTTACTTGGGTTTCCCTCCCACAACAAGACCAAGCTTCTTCATGGTGTAAACACGCCACGAGAGCAGACAAACCAACACAGCTCATCGAGGTTCCCAGAAAAGTCAAATCCTGTTGTACTACTGGTGACCAGCGATTGGCATGGAGATGGGACGCTGAATACAAGTGTTGCAGCCACTCTTTAGACTCAGCTCTTCGGAGCAGGGACTGTCTACTCTGTGCCCAACTGTGAGGTCCTGTTCTTGGATGGTCCCTAGCCACCGCTGTAACACACATTACTACAATCCCAAGAAAGCTCCGGGAACTCACCCCGAACGCGATCAGAGTAGTTGATCCAGCCGTCCACTCATATTCGCTAAACAGAGAGCTCCATCCCAACAGAAGCTTCCTCCAATATCAAGAATGAATTTAACTCAAAGAAATTAAATCGGAAAAGCCCTCCTCTGAAGCAAGGGGGCTTCTACAGATCAGGGGTTCTCAAATCCCCCCCATGCTATAAAAACCTCCCTGGCCCAGCTGTGCCACCACATCTGGTTTTCTGCATATAAAAGCCAGGAGGAGAATTGTCTGGAGCCCCACACCAGGAGAGGCACGGCAGAGCTATGTTGCTCAGGTTTCACCCAGGACTGGGGCTGAAGCTGGTGTGGTTCGGGACCCCAGGGTGCAGTCCCACATGGCAGGACTTTGGCTTTCCGGCCTGGGCCCTAGTGAGTCTAATGCCAGTCATGCTTGGCAGACCCCCTGAAACCTGGTCACACACCCCCAGGGGGCCCCAGACCCCTGGCTGAGAACCACTGCTATAGATTATATAGATACCT